GACAGAGAATAAACAGAGTAAAATACATATGAATACACATACACACACATTTGTGATTGTATACTTCGATGTATCTGAACTAAAATGATGATGCAGGAAACGGAATTGACACTTTTAATTTAAAATAAAAAAAAGTTCATACTATATCGACATCAATCAAGTTCAGTTATCGTTCAAATATCCCCTTAAGAGAAACTTCTCTACCATGCTTTGTGCTATTTATTATTATTTTTTCTCGTAGGCAAACTATGCACGCGATAAAAGAAATGCCAAACGCAGAAAGTGCAGAAACCAACATTGTAGAATATCTTGATTAAATATCTGCAGAAATATATACTAGTTCAAAAGAAATTCAGGGTATCTGATTTTCCTTTCTGTTGCACTAAACTTAATCTAATTGTGAACTTCATAAAAATCTCGACTAGAGAGATTTTTATTACTTTGTTAATGTTTGTATCTTTTAGTAATAAGCGTAAATTGCCGATATAATTTTGTCATTTAATATAATGTAAAACTATCGAACATACCTGGCTCCTTTAATAAGGTTTCAACAGACTTTTTTATATAGAAAACACTGTGTGGAATAGATTACTTATAAAATAAATGCATACAATGTGATTAATAAATAAGCTTTCTTTATGATTGTTTTGTGTATACAATTTGAAATTAATTGCTTACAAAGTATAATAAATAAATCTTACGATCTATGATTCTCAGCTAAAATCAGCCGCGACAGTGATATATAAGGATTGTTATCCACATAGTTGTTCAAGGAACGTTCTAAAAACATTCTGAGAACGTTCTAACGTTCTAAAAACTATCCCAGGAAGATCTTTAGAATAAAGTGTATTGTATTGAGTGTTCATAAACGAGAAGTATGTACAATTCTATATAAAAAAATACGTATATAATAAAAAAAATATAACATAAAATTTTTTCATATGAGGCTTGTTTTCGAGAAAATCGATTTTAAATATTTGCTAGATTCGTTGGATAAATTTAACCGACAAAATAAAGCACCTGATGACATAACGTTCATAAAAGTTTACTGAAAGAATAAAATTGTGTCGAAAATGCGCAACATTTCTAATAATTTATAAAGTATAACATTCACCGTGCATGAATATCCTGCTTTTATTATGTATCTTCGATTATTTAGTATAATGAACATAAATATGAGCAAAGATAATAATTTTTTTACAGCTAAATCATTAAGGCGAGACATACTTAAATGCAGGCGTATATTTAAAATCAATTTCTTATTGATAATCAAATATTCTTTATTTAATTCAAAAGTATAACAAAAAATATATACATTAATTATAAAAAAAAAAATTCATGCGGCTGATTTTATATCTATTCCTTTCAGTTGTATCTCCTTTAAATTCCCTAACTTTTATCACATATGCCATATTTAATTATATATTCGTTTCATCTTAAATAATGCATTTGAAAAGAATATATCTTTCGACTGTAAGGTACATATACGAATAAACGAGCATTAAACACGTGCCGGTAAGAAGTGCTCATAATAATTCTTCGTGAAGTCTACCATGAGATCCAGAGTGCACTCGGGCAGCTCTTCGACGCACGTCGCCGGACTGCCAGCGAAACGAGTAAAGGACGGCACGATTGTTTCTGGTGGTACGACCGCGCCGTCCTCAATGTAGCAGCAGTCCTTCAGAACGGACCGCCTGCCCTATAGCGAGACAAGTACAACTGTGTGAAGGAATTACGCTATACTCACTCGATTTGGCAAGTAAAAGTCATTATACATACAATTATGGCATTTTTCCCAATGTAAACATACGAGCCAACCAACGCTGCATTCACGACCGCTCGCTCTCCCACAAACACATGATTTCCCATTGTTAGAGGGAAAAAGGCAACCCTAAGCAGGGTTTATCACTTTAGAATTTAGCATTTAACATAACTGTATTAAAGAGTCGCTCTTGTTTGCAAACTGCCAGTCTCGATATTAAAACTAGTATCCATTATAAAGCTACCAATATAACGTACATTAATATAATACACAAAATTTTACTTACCCCCTGCTGAATTTCTTGAAAGGCGGTCGGATGACAGCGTTCTTGCTTATAATACAATAACGACCTGTCCTGACATTGGCCAGATCACCTCTAATGATAGCGTCAGATTGCACTATTACTTTTCCATGCAGCACAATATTCTGCGAGCCGCACAGTACAGTCAACCTGCTCACCTTATTTCCGGAGGCCTAAAATAGCGAAAAAGTGAGGTTACGTATCACATTCTGAATATCTATAGATGCGAGATGTCACTAAATAATTATATTTGTTAAATCGTTTTTATAGCCTCTATCTCTTAACGATAAAAGCTATAACGTTATAATATTCCTTTTTAATTACAGATACAAATGTTTGATTAAAATTGCATGTTTAGTTCCTTCGATTATTATTACCGTTTCAACATATTCAGCTTTGTTGTAATAAATATCTTGAGGCTCCATCTTGACGTATCTTCTTCTTACACACAACTGTATTACTTAATTTAGTTCAAAATTTTAATAAAAATGCTCCGATTAAGTGTCATTCCTCCAAATATATTGAGAAAAGTCATTCAGTATAAGTTGAAGTACTGCTAGATATCCAAACATTTCAGACGTGATCAGCTGATGAATTAAATGCTTGTCGCCATCTGTTGACAAAATTGTGTATTGTTTTCTACTGCAGGAAAATGCATCGTGAATTTATTTCTCAGCTGATAAAGTCATTTTGTAAAAAAATATGACGATATAATAAAAAATACTACAAAATAATGCTAATATACAAATGTGCTTTGCATTAAAAAAGCTTCGATAATTAAATAAAAATTTATTTATTTATTCTCGCAGCAAAATAATTTGTAGTTTTAGTAAAATTATATTGGCAAATAGCAATTAGTATTTTTAACAATTTTTTTGCAGTTTACATAATTGATATAGATTTTGCTACAACAGTTAAATTTGCTAGCTTATTTTTTTTTTTACTTTATTAGAACAATATAAAATTGGTACGAATATATGAGAACACACCAATAAAAAATAAAATTAATTATTTATAAATGTAAGCACTACACAACACTGATAGAAGCAATAAACACTTTACAATTGGGCAGATCAAACATATATCTTTTACATATCTTTGGTTAAAATATTGTAAATAATGTTTGTATTATACATGTGTTGAATAGTGCATATAATAACATAGATATACATATTATAAATTTTTTTATTAAAGTTAAATGTAAAAGTCGGACTTGTGAAATCTTAAATTTTGCATTTTATTTTTGTAATAATCCTGTTTTGATCTTTATTCTTATTAGATTAAATTAAAATTTATAGTCACAATAGATATTATGATTAGATTTATCTCTTATTAATATCAATTTTATTTCTCTTTTATAAAACACAATAGATATAATAAGTATTAAATGAAACTATAACTTTTAATTTTGTTTACAATTAGCGTCAAAAATATGTATATGTTTATCTTGTAAATTTGTCATATACTTTATTTTTTGTAAATTTTAATAATAAATTTTTCCCACTGCACACACATAATTAATACAGTATGTGAAATACAAAACTGACGGAGAATATTATAAAATCATTTCTCATGTTAATAACAAGAAAACCTTTCATAAATCTTGTTTATCCCATATTGATAAACCGATAATTCCAAATATGTGAAAAGTGCTTACAATCAAAGATATTATAATAGAACATGTTGGAATGTATGATATTGTATCAATGCTTACATGATACTATCAGTATTTTAATTTATATTTAATTTAAACATTTTTTCCACTTTTATTATATTACAATTGTTTGTATTACAATATTAATGATAAAAATGATTCAGATCGCGTGGTAGGCAAGAAATATTCTATCAGCACACAATACGCAGAAATATAAAAAGAATGTCGTAAAAATCACATGGTGTGATAGAAAAGTATATGTGAAACCTCAGCTGCGATTTTTCGCACGCAAAGTACAGATCCATCTCCGAGTTTCTTGCATCGGGATTTCTTGCACTATCATTACTTAAATTGTGCTTTCAATACTTACACCGTCGAAAGGTAATCGTGAGAACAATGAAAGCTGACGAAAGTCTAAAACCACATGTTTCGAAGCTACATCAGAGAAAACAATCCTCGGGCTATACATTGTATACCAACGTAGCGTCGTCACGAATGCTAAATATTTTACGTACAGTAATAATCCGCTCATTTCACCGATTACCTCTTCATTGCGTCCTTTATTTAGGGGCTACAATATCGCATCAATGTAGCGTCCGTCACGAATGTTAAATATTTTATGGGCGGCAATAATCGACTTATTGCGCCTATTTCCCTTCATTTTTTTATTTTTTTGAATCCATCCGCGATTTTCTGTTGAGTGGACATATCCCAATCCGGCTATGTACGCAAAAAGATTACGATACACAGATATATAATCGATACTGTCGATAAACCTAAAGGAATCTATTTGCAATCGCTTAGCGGATACAAAAGCGATTGGAATGTTTTTCATCGTTCTATGCATCCTTGCAGTGTCGTTCGACACTACATCCTCTCGTTGGATCGACGATGTGATTCTACAATTTATCGTCGATGCGACGCCCATTTTATTTTCACCATCGAGGATATCTTTACATACGTGCATCAGCTATGGCAAGAGATTTTCAAATCTGTCAGAAATATGATGATTAAAAGAATAAATGAATAAAACTAATCATAAACTTTAAAGCAAACATTGAGAAGGATAGAGAGAGGAAGAATTTTTTAATTTGAATTTATAACATCATGTGAACTGTCATATTACTATGAATTTCGTTAATTTTGGAATAAATGTAGTTACCTCGCTCTAAATTATAACAATTTCATTTTACTTAAGAAGGCATATAATAGTATCTAAAGAATTTTAATCGACTTTGTATTCTTTTTTCTTCTCAGATGATACAATTAAATTATCAAGGGAAATGTCGAACTATTATTTGACGCACGGCATTCATAACTTTGACGATGATCTTGAAGAAAAAATTCATAACAATTTAGAGCATCGAAATCTGTACATGCTAGATATGAACTGTGATTACGCTATCGAAGTTTTACGACAGGTAGGAACCAAGCATCTATTGCAAGTAAGATGTGAGCACAAATATATATTATACACAATTCCTGTTAAAACGACAGCATCTCATTTATAAAAAATTTAAAATTTTACTAATATTTTCTATTTGTAATAATATATATATTCTGTTTGTTAATAATAATTTATATTTTATAATTATCATGTTATCGATGTTAAATTAACCATTAAATTTTTGATAAATTTTTGAAAATTAGATGCCAACTTCACAAGACACGTATGTGAACTTTGCCAAATTAAAAAGATTGAAAAAATAAAGATAATGCAATTTTTAACTTTATAACTCATAGTTTATTCACGTTAAAATTTTCGTCCAAAAATTACAATGTTTATTTACGATTACACAATCTAGCATAAATTACAATTCATTATCAGTAGAAAAGAAGTCATTAATGTTCATGGACTAATGGCATATATGAGTTAATTATAGGGAATTCTCTCATCCGTTTAAATCAATTAAATATTATTTATCTGACCATTACGCGATAGGCGCATTCAAAGAGAATGTTCATCGCCCCGATGAAATGGCTGCTTCTTCAGGATCGAAGGATGATAATCGATAACGCTAATATAACTTCCATAAATGACAACTTAGAGGTTTTTGAAGATTTAGCTCTCTATCCTGACAGTGATGTGGTACTCGCTCAAAGATTCGATAATGATTTTCTTCAACTGACATCCGTATATCGACCGAGTCCACAACGAGCAGTAATATGGGAAAATCGCGGAACCTGGACGATCAAGAACGGTTTACAAATGAGTACTTTCGATGTGGCTTCAGCACGGAGAAGGAATCTTCAACAGACGGCTCTTAAATCTTGTCTCGTGGTACTTTCAATACGTTTTCACTCATTGTGTAATGAACATTACTTATATCAACGATATATGATTAAAGATATTTCATTTACAAGCATTCAATAAGTTTACTTCACTTCCCTACTTTTATTTTACCATAAAAAGAAAAAAAAGAATAACGCCACAATGTAACTTAGAAATTCAAAACTTTTTGCGTATATATAAATTTTTTCATCTTTGCAGATGTTAGATCCTGACACGATCAATCACTTGACTGATTATAAATATAATATAATAGATCCTATGACAAAGGTTAATTATATCTGGGTACTTCATTTAGTAAACCGGATGAACGCAACGTGAGTTTTGTCTCTTAGTTGTAAAATATAATTATTGTTAAAATGTTTATGAAGGAAATTTTAGAGGAATAAAAAATCGATTTGTCAATTACTTTATAAATCTAACAATTCTAAATGCAAACCTTGATAATAAAGCTGTTATAAATAAATGATAGTAAATCTATTATAAAAATATGATTATATTAGTCAATTAGTTTAATAATCTGACAATTGTACAATACATAACGAAATCGTTTTCGTTTAGATTATAATTAAACATATAATACATATACATATATATTATACAAATGTAGCTGCTTAATTATTTGAATCATGCGTTTTATCAGCAAAAATAAAATGTTGGATCTGACTTTGCCGAACTTCGAATGCGAGAAAATATCTCGTCACAACTATAATATTTAACTGTCTTCTTTAAAAATGTTTTTATACTTTTAAAGGATATGTGAAGTAATTTGTGAGCATGAGAATCGAATAATTCTTTGTATAAAACAACGAAGCATAAATCTGGCAAAATGATGCATTGCAATTTTATGTTCTTCTATTTTGTAGGGTAAGTTTCAAAATTTCCAACACTTGGGGACGCGATAATAATGGATCCTGGGACGGGATGATCGGGATGCTGCAGCGAAAGGAGATCGACATTGGCGGCACTCCTGTATATATGATGACAAGTCGCATTCATATGCTGGAATATATTCAACTATACACGCGTACTGGGTAAAATAGCACCTAAATCTAATTAATCAAAACTTTGATTGCTTTATTATGTTACATGACTATTTAAACAAATGTTAATAAATATTTGTTTAAATAGACATGTAATATAATAAAGTCATGTACATCATAAAACTATTGACGCATAAATTTTATACAGTATGAGTTTCGTGTTCCGACGACCATTATTATCGACCATAAAAAACATCTTCTTCTTACCTTTTCAAAAAAACGTCTGGTTAGCAACCGCTATATTCCTTATTCTCGTCTTTTGCTTGCTATATATATCTATGAAATGGGAACATTATCGAGGTACTTCGAGAAAATCAGTAGCTTACTGGAACCAATTGAATGCTAGTGAACCGACAATCACCGATGATCTTCTCATCTTATTAGGTGCATTTGCGCAACAAGGTATAACCTAATATATAAAAGCTTTGATAAATTTTAACTTGTAAATAAAAATATTTTAAAAATAAACTTGTAAAATACAGTAGAAGCTTTTATACATTATTTTGGAATTATTGAAACCTATATGTATGTATTCCGGAATCTCTTCTGAATTTCCACTCTCATTCTAATGAACTAAATAAAATTTTTACAGACTTTTTGTTTTTCGCTCTTCGTTTTATTGATAATCACCTCATTACACGATTAAAAATCTGAACAAGAGAAATGTGAGAATTTAATTCATTCTCGAAAGAATTACTTTAAAGTATTGATACGCAACGTGCTATTCGTCGACTCACATTCGAAAATACAAAATTATATTTTCTATTTTACGCAAATTTAAAATGTACTTTAAAATATCTTTACGAATTTAATATTTATAAAAATATAATTTATAATTAAGTATAGAAAAAGGACGATAAGAGTCAAGTAATAAAATGAAAACAATAAAGCAGTTAAACATTAAGTATATAATAAATTTGAAAAAAATATATCGAACTAAAACTTAAATTACAAATAAAACAATATATTCAAACGCTTATAACATAGATTTAATAAAAAATTGAAATTACGCAACCAGTTTCGACTCTTGGTTTGAGTCATTTTCAGGCGTCTTCAAAATTCCGTATATGTAGTTTAACTCAATCAAATATCAATTTTTCAATTTCTCCATTTGCAAGTACTATTGGTAATAAACGATAGGAGAATCGTATACTGACCAATATATCTACAATTATAACGTAAAATTGACGAGCATACATCGAATAAACTTTGTCAAATTTATAAAATATATTTTAACTTACCAACGAGGTCATATAAAAAAAAAAAAAACTTAATTCAGAAAAATCGATTCGTCAGCATATAACATAAAAAGAGTTTTGTCAAGATAAAATAGTCAAAAATTAAAATAAAGATCCAGAATATAATTTATCTTACATAAATATATGGTATATTTATAAAGTATTTGTATATCTAATATATTAGTTAAAATAGTATTTATATATCTAAAAATGTATATCTAATGTGTGTGTATCTAATGTGTATATCTAATTACGTATATCTAATGTTTATCTAACGTATATTTAAAAATTGTCCTTTTTTTAAAGAAAAGTAATACGTAATAACACTACTTTAAAGAATAACAGTGTATCCAGTAAAAAATAGAAAATTTTATTGATTTCGTACATTTGTAGGATATTCGTATGAGCCATACAGAATTCCAACTCGAATTATCACTCTTATGTTATTACTGGCATCGCTGAGCCTTTATGCAGCTTACACAGCGAATATAGTGTCTCTCTTGCAATCTACTACGGATTCAATCAAAACCCTTTCCGATCTCTTGCACAGTCCGTTAACTCTAGGAGTACAAGATATGTTAATTAATCGACTTCATTTCAAGGTAGATAAAAGTTTTAAAATTATACAACAAATAATTCTATTGACAAAAATAATTTTCTCTTTATTGGAAAATATATAGACTTTACAAGACCCCATCAGAAAGGCGATCGTCGAGCAGAAAATTGAACCAAAAGGGCGCAAATCGAACTGGATGAGTCTTGAAGAAGGGGTACGGCGCGTAAGGAACGAACCTTTTGCATTTCATGGTGGACGAAGTCCGATGTATCAAATTATGCAACACACTTATCAAGAAGAAGAGAAATGCGGTATTACAGAGATTGATTATATGAATAACATATATCCGGTTATTGCGATACAGAAAAGATCGCCTTATTTAGAGATAATAAAAAATGGGTAAGTTTACGTCAATTTTTCGTATATTGCACTTTAAAATACGAATTAATTCAAACGAATTAAAATTTAACGTAAACATTTTTGTCAGAAAACGTGCACATCGTATCAAATTCATACAGTAACCTCTACTATATGTATAGTGCATATTAAGAATGCACGAAATGTTGTACTTTATTTATCAATTTTGTGTAGAAAAATAAATTTGAAGAAAGACTGCGTTGTATTTATATAAAATGACAGATAAATTGCAATAGTATTATAGTACTCGAGAAAAGTATTTTCTTCAGAGCTTTGAAACTGCGAGAATATGGGCTCATGTATCGCGACGAGTATCGCTTGTACATAAAAAAGCCAATGTGCTCGAGTCAGACAGGCTTCATCACCATTGGTTTTACGGAATGCTATTTTGCGATAGTCGCAATGGGTTACGGAGCTTTACTTAGCATAACTGTATTTGCCCTCGAACTATTATGGTACAAAAGGTAATATTAAAAAAAGAAAATCTTTTATTTACACGCGATTACTACATATTTTATGTATTTTTTTACAGACAAAGTATGAAAACACTAAAAGAGACAGTTTCAACTGTGGTAGAAGAAAGGAAATCTGGAAGCATCGGCGAGCGCGAGTACAATTAGACTATTGTGACGAAAATGTGCATCTCTATTTGGCAAAATTTAAAAGAATTAAAACTTTCTAAATATCTGCTGATGTAGCAAGCAAATTAACTTGATTACTTGTAGATTATTTCCGCGATTCTAATGAAGGAAAGTCGATAGTCAATATTAATTTAGCGCACATATTAATATAACATATTATGATAATTAGTAGTAGAAAGATAGTAAAATATATGTATGTAATTCTACATATTGAAAAGAAAGCTGATCCCTCAAAACTTTCTCAACGTATTAACAGCTGTTCCATCTCCGAAAGAAACTTTCTGACTTCGTTGAAGTTGACTAATAAAGAGAATTGCACTTATAATCACACAACTAATATACAATACATATTTAACCAAATTATTACACATACTATATACATATAGTGGCGTTCTTTTTCTATATAAACATAAGAATCAATTATTGTTAATATCGTAAACATTTTCATGAGAAATAATTCTAATAAAATGTGTATGAAATTGTAATAAAAGCTGTGATGTATTTAAAATACAATGTGATTATTTTACAAAATTACAAAATACATACATATTTTAAATTTAATTATGCGTTATTTTCTTTTTAATAATGTCTTTTTTCATTTAAAAAAATCATTTCCTTATCGAACCAAATATTTTTTTTTTTTAATAAACTTTCTTTCCGTTTAAAAAAACCATTTCTCTATCGAATCAAATATTTTTTCTTTTTAATAAATATTTTTTCTTTTTAATAAATATTTTTTCATTTAAAAAAAACCATTTTTTTTGATCAAACAAATAATTTTTTTTAAATAATTTTTTATTTTGTATGGAAAATCCTTATGTCTACTTCTCCAATAAATTTATTTCAATTACACTTTTTTACTGTTATACACAAATAATATATTGTTTAAAGTGAATATGATAATGAAATCGGCCGATGACGGTCAAGCAGGATTTTGGTTGCTAAATGTAATGTGTGAATTTTATTTACCACGTATGTAGTCCTCAATCGCGTGCTGAAATTTTTCCAGACTTACAACGCAACTCTATAATCAAACTATCGTAGTAATATCACTTTAGTTAAATTGACACAAGCAATCTAACAAATTTTTGATGCTTAAAGCATCTTATTGGATCTTAATAATATGTTGAAAGACATATTCAAAATTTGTTAGATTGTTTGTGTCAATTTAACTAAAGTGATATTACTACGGTATAGTTGATTAGAGTTGCGTTGTAAGTCTGGAAAAATTTCAGCACGCGATTGAGGACTACACGTGGTAAATAAAATTCACACATTACATTTAGCAATCAAAATCCTACTTGACCGTCATCGGCCGATTTCATTATCATATTCACTTTGTTTTCAACAACGACGGTCTTACACAAATCTTAATTAATTGTTTAAACTGCTAAATGAAAACCTATCATTCTGGCTGTTGTCATTTGAAAATCGAATACTGGTATGACATCAGCTGACAATACATAAAAATGGCATTTCTTAACGGCAAAATTAAATTTCGTTTCTAAATAAATTGTGCGGCATCTAAAAGTACAATTCAAATACTTTTAAACGAGAGATATCATTGTACAACGTATTTTTAATTTATATATATAGTATTATTTGAAAGTAACTCTTTACTTGTAATTCGTCAACGTATAAACTGATCAAAATAAAATGTCAACACACAACAATCAATAATTATTATTTTTTTTAATGGGAATTCATCTTTATTTTTGATAATCACACTCGGTAAACGTCTATATTAAGAATTAAGTCTTTCAGTATGTAAATGCATATTAATAAATAATTTTTATTAATATAAATAATTTATTTATATAAATAATACATAATTTTTATTTTAAATATATTTTTATTTATATTATAAATAATATTGCGTACAATCAAATACAGTACTTCAAAAAGAAAAAAAATGATTTTTTATTGAACCGCGTAATTACAGATAGTTTACAATTTTAACAGTCATATCATTAATGAAAATAAATTATACGCAATCATGAATTAAAATTTGAAGTTTTTAAATTGTATTTTTAGATGTTATTTAGAAACAGGTACCGTAAAAAGATTATACAAAATGATCCATAATCAGTTTCGACCAATTTCACCTCAATTTATTCAAAATTCTACTATGCAAATTCTGCCAAAGACACATTGCATTCAGCGTAAAAAAAATTTTCAGGTGTCGAATAGTGTTTTTTTTTTTACATACTAGCCTTTTCCTGCGCGCGCTACGCGCGCGATTCAGAATTATTGGAGATACACAAACAAATCTGGAAAAGACCAAACTGGTTTGTTAATTCCTCTAAAATTACAACGTAGGTTCTCTCTTTACTTAATTTTTTTAAAAATTTAAGCATTTATACATCCTTAAAATTTTTTTCCGGATTTGTCTAATTTATGAGATTATTATTTTTGTTTTTTCCTTTTTTTCCGTTAGTTTTAATTAACTGTCTTCATTTTAAATTATTGATTTTCGTATTTTTTTATTTTTTTATTTTTCCCCGCTTCTTGAAATAGTCATGAAGATGATGATTTTCGTCTTCTTTTAATCTTATTCAGTTCTTTGTTTTTTTGATACTTTTCATTCGTATTTTTTCGAAAAAATCATTAATTTAGTAAAATGAATTCTCAAGCAATCGATACGAACTCGAAAAATAATCACTTGGGGGATGTTACAATCTTTTTTTGTGTATAACTTTTTTTTGGAGGGTGGACAAATGAAAATAACGGGCAAACAAACGTGGACAAACAGTGGACAAACGAATGTAATAATGATATTTCCAATATTTGCATTTACAGATTCCAACTTTACAGAGCTGCTTTGTGAAGTTGGCACCCCTAAATGCGAATATTAGTAAAATCATTATTGCATTCGTGTGTCAACGTTTGTCCAACCGTTATTTTCAATTGTCCACCCTCCAAAAAAAAGTTATGCACAAAAAAAATTTGTAACACCCCCAAGTGATTATTTTACACTATTACGAAAAATATAATAAACATAGGGTGGACAAACGAAAATAACGGGTGGACAAACGTGGACAAACAGTGGACAAACGAATGCAATAATTATTTTACCTTTATATGCATTTAGAGATTCCAACTTCACAAAGCAGCTCTGTGAAGTTGGCACCCCTAAATGCGAATATTAGTAAAATCATTATTGCATTCGTTTGTCCACTGTTTGTCCACGTTTGTCCACCCGTTATTTTCGTTTGTCCACCCTATGTTTATTATATTTTTCGTGATAGTGTAAAATAATCACTTGGGGGTGTTACAATTTTTTTTTGTGTATAACCTTTTTTTGCGGGGTGGATCAAAGAAAATAACGGATGGACAAACGAACGCAATAATGATTTTATCAAAATTCGCATTTAGGGGTGCTGATTTCACAGAGCAGCTCTGTGTTGTTGGCACTCCTAAATGCGAATTTTGATAAAATCATTATTGCATTCGTTTGTCCACTGTTTGTCCACGTTTGTCCACCCGTTATTTTCATTTGTTCACCCTCCAAAAAAAAGTTATGCATAAAAAAAAATTGTAACACCCCCAAGTGATTATTTTACATTATTACGAAAAATATAATAAAAATAGGATGGACAAATGAAAATAATGGGTGGACAATCACGTGCGCGTTGTGGACAAACGATACCCGTACATAATTATGAAAAATTATCACTTGGGGATGTTACAATTTTTTTTTGTGTATAACCTTTTTTTGCGGGGTGGACCAAAGAAAATAACGGGTGGACATACGTGGACAAACAGTGGACAAACGAATGCAATAATGATATTACCAATATTCGCATTTAGGGGTGCCAACTTCACAGAGTGCTACGCGCGCGATTCTTTTTTTTTTGAACGACCATATAATTTTCTCTTACAAAATTTACACCAAAGCATAGTCGATTAAGCTTTAAATTATAATTACATTTCTTTGCGTCTTATTAAATTCGTTATATTCTTATTGATTTCCGCAACATTTCCGTCTGCCATATTGAATTTAAAAATTTGGAACACGGAATCAAAATCAGCGTTCGCGGTAACCCCCATTTACCTAATTTCGCTGAAATTTTTAAATTTTTATGTATTTCGCAACACTTTCGTCCGCCATTTTGGATTAACCATTTGGAATTTCCTAATTTTGATCACAGATTCGAAATCAGCGTCTGCGTAAGCCCTCTTAATTCAAATTTCGCCGAAATCGGAAAACCTTTAAGATTTTCGCATCTTTTCCGTCCGCCATATTGGATAAGTCTTTTTTAATTATCATAATTTTTACCATGTTTTTAAAAGAGCGTCCCCGAAAATTCCTTGTTACCGAAATTCATCATTTTCGGATTACTTTAACTGCCTCAACGAATAGAGGCTTCAAAAAAGCATGACACGCCAATTTTAAGATATGATGAATTGTTACGCAAATTACATCATACCAAATTTTTACATCTAAAAAGTTTTTATATCTATTATAAAAAAAACTATTTAAATTTTTTCGAGTTTGTGAAGCTAAAATCGAAACAATTTAGCAAATTATTGAATTTGCAAGCATTGACTATTTTTAAACAAATATGATTTTAAAACAGGTTAAAGTTTTAAAGCTATTAAATTCTAAACTCTAAAGAAATTTGACGAACCATTAAATTCGTATAAAATGAATATCTTCAAGCAATTATTAAAGTGTTAATGGCTTTGAAAATAATTAAGAACTATATTCCAGAAAATTTAGAATGCTATTAAATTTGCGTTAATTGATTAATTTTAAACATTTACAATTCTTTAAAATGTTGAAGGTTTGAAGGTGTTAAAAATTGTAAGTAAAAAAAGTAGATAGCTAAATTTGGAAATTAAATATTTTTAAGCAATTATACATTTGTTAAATATTTAAAGCTTTTAAAACTAAATATTAAAAATTTTAAGTAAAAAATTTTATACGCCGTTGAATCTGCAGAAATTAACTATTCTAAATAAGCAAGTATATTTCTTTAAAGTATCACAAATCCGTTTTGAAACTTAGAAAAGTTATACGCCATTTATACAGTAATTTGCTGATAGCTGTAATATTTCTTCGACATTCACGATATTTAGCTAACGCGGAGTTACACCGCAATTTTGTTGCATGTTTGATTAGCCTTAGCTTCAAGCTTTGAGACGTTGACTTGTTGTGGCGACGCGTTGTCATAGCGATCATCGGCGTGTAAACCCCTAGCGTTTAGTTGCATTTTGTCCTTATCCGTGTCACGATGCCGTCGAATTCTTGAGGCGTTCCGGAAATGTCGCTGTTCAAGACAAATGAGTGGTGGAGAACGCAATGCGGAGTAAATGAATCATTCGATAGACACAGCTTGCTGATCACGCCATTATTCGGCGCTGATCGAAAGGATATCATCGTCACTGGTAGTCACAGCGGCTACCTTCGAATATACAGTCCGTTCTCGCAATGGATAGAGGAGACCAAGTCACCGAGCGGTTACAAGTCCTCGGACTTGCTCATCGAGACGCAAATCAGCGACTGTATTGTCGACATGAAGGCGGGCAAATTCGTCTCGTAAGTGAAACCGCGAGATTTGTGAAGTGAAAGGATTATTGATGTCGTGAAGAATTGTACGTTTTTAACTCTGGAATGTATGGCCTTGTGATGAAGATTTTTGCGAAAGCCAGAACAGCGAGAAATAATTTCAATTAAAATCAATTTTACGGTGGAAGAAAATTAATTTACGCTTAATCTATAAAATTTATCAAGAAATGAAATAAAAATGTAAAATATGTTAGTAATGAGGCTCAATAAGTAAAACTAATAATAAAGAGAAACAGGGTTACAAGCCAATAAATTCATTAAAATCTTTAATTTTATTCTAATATATTGCGAAGAATATCACGTAATTTTTGCTTCCACTGCTGGACTCATCAGTAAAAGGTATTGTAGTGGAAGCCGGGACGAAACGCCAAAAATTATGTGATATTCTTGGCAATATATTAGAATAAAATTAAAAATGTACATTTAAAATTAAAAAATGTAACAATTAAAGAAGAAATAAATAGATAATTGTCATAAAACTTTACAAAGATTAATTTTATGTGCATGCTAAAATTACTATATACGTATTTATAATTTAATATATACGTATGATATTTTTTAAATAATCTGTTAAGTTTATTTTGTATATAATTATGAATAAAATTAGATAAATTACAGACACTAAAAATAATTGTAAAGACATCTATCTATTAATGTCTCGTAGTTTAACTTCAGAATATTATTTAAAATTACTGTTTAAAATCATCTTTAATTAAATAAGCGCACTTTGCAATATCACTTGTTGTTGTAAATGTTATATTTTTATCGATATCGATCATATCGATATTGATCTGTTTCAGAGGCTCGCCAGATACTCGACTTGCAGTACTGACATCAAAAAAACTTGCTATTTACAGTATAATTTTGAGTCAAGGCTCCGTTGAGCATGGTTTGTATCAGAATATATTACATTATAACTGTATAACAAATTAAAATGCATCCAAACATATTTTTATTATAACTTGTTAATTTTTCTCTTTTAATTACTTGATTAACTTTATAAGTCTTTTCTTATTATGAATTTCTTATTAATAAACATTACGTTTTAAGTGTATGTTTTAAGTGTGCTTTGTGTGAGTGTGTGTGTGTGTTTATACTTAGAATACTTTAGAATACTTTAACAAAACTTTTCTTTCCGTATAGTAAACAAATCGTTCTTTGATTGTTAACTTAACTTAAAGATATGTACATTACATTTAACAAAAATAGAAAATAAGCAATATCACAAAAAACAATCTGTACTCTCCGTTATAATGGTTCTATTCTTTTAATTAGACACCAGAATCACAGTACGCCGCGTGTTATCGGAATATAAATTTCAGTGTCATGGTAATAACATTAATCGTACGATAGAACAGCCGTCGGAAGAGATGCCCCAGCACGGCTATATAACGACCCAACAAGATCGAATGATCGTGAGGGCCTCGTGTGTAGGTCTAACTGGAATTCTCGCGAGAAACCTGACTTAAAAAAATGCTTCCCTAATTAGATTTTGTAACCTCAACAAATAAGTATATATGGATAGAACATGTTGAGCATTACATTACATACATGTACATATTTTTATTACATTACATGCCTTGTAATCACCTTATTAATATATCTCTTGTTATTGACTATAATAATTAATTACAAGTACTAATATAGCTGTCATTATTGTACCCTGAAAAAATAGTGTTATTTCAATAGCATTATTTTAATTAAAAATAATCTTGTTAATATAATAACAGTATTAATGAAACAAATAAAATGTTATTAAAATAAGAGCAAAGATATATATATTTGTAACAGTTTTTTTTTTATTGAATTAACAAAATTTTATTCAGTTAAGATAAAGCTGAGACATCATTATTTTTGTGTAGGTACTTTAATTTTTGTTGCCCTCATGATCGTTACGTTATTATTATACCACTATTATAATTCTTGAGTTCAATGTGTAATTTATATATTTGGGAAGAGGGGAACGTGTAATTATTTTTCGTTTGGTCTTGAAGAAGCCCTCAGGGGTTTGAAGCAGTTCATCCCATAGACTCGCGTCCTCCGAGAGCCGGTCCTGGCCGCGTAGATAAAATGACCGCGAGCGGTATGCTGCTAACGAGCACCACGAGCGCGTTAAATTATTCTCGCGCGCAAAGATCTTCAACGATGAAAGATGGAAACGCGCGCGCCGTGTCGACGATAACTCGGAACGATTTTCGTACGATATCTACGGCAACTTGTATACAAGTTGCACAGCTGATATCGTATCGTTTCTTCTTTTTTTTTTTTTTTTGCAAAAATGTGTAACATACATTCGCGAATCGTCTTTATAATTGAAGTAGCTACGAATTGAAATGTATAAAACGATTAAGAAAATTGAGAGATAATTTATCGATTATATTGCATGAAAAAATCGATATTAAATGAGACTGTAATTTGATTTTCAAATTTTGACGCAATATATCGATTATTATGATATCCTGTAACAACTCGCTACCTTGATATTCGATATTAATGAGAAATTAATTCTAAGTACTTTTTTACAGAAAATAAAGAAAATTTAAAATATTAAACTTCTTTCTGGTGTCAACAATTCCAAAAATTAAAGTTTACGTCTAACGCACTAAAAATCCTGTCTAAGCATCCGTTTATTGAACTTTCAGAGTCACAAATTTTTTTTATATGGTGTGAATAAAATGTATATATAAATGTATTTAAAATTGTTGTTTTGAATGTAAAGAAGCATTGAATGTGAAGCACAGATATGAACCTATGTGTGTTTATATTAATCACTCAATCGTACGATATCGCGTATCAAAGTACGAAAACGCGCCGTCTCGCTCATTATAATCTTGACCGATCGAAAACATAAGTAACACACGATGTACTCGAGTGCGACATTATAACGCGCTTCTCGACGTTTCCTCCGTCTACAGCAATTTATGTAACTCTAGAAAACTTTTTTCAATTTCCACCTTGACTGGTGCAGGTTTTCCTCGTGCGATTTGAAATTAAAACATCTTTGAAAGATCAAGGAGTCGGATCAGACAATTTCGACCCTAGAACTCCATACGAGGAATATTTATCCATTAATATTAATGATCTACGCGATTCTAGACATAATATGGAAAATTACATAATCGCCGCAGGGAAACACATAGATCGGCATATAGATTTGATCATTAAAAACTTACACAATCTTCATCTAATATGTGATATAATGATACTATTATGGTAACATAGCGTATATAATAATGTTACAATTTAAATTATAATCTCTGTATTATATATATATATATATATATAATTCATAAATAAATTGTATACTTTGTACTACATACTATTTCAAAAAAGTCTTCACGTATATATTTTATGAAAAATCGTTTCCCTTCCTTTACAATTTCTATTATTAATATATCAAATCGGAATAAAATTAAGTTTGCTCGCCGCTTAAAGATAGTCTTTGTGGCTGATAAAAAACGTTTACTGGTAAAAATGATCGGTTCAGCCGTTCCAATGTTAAAGACTGCTTTCGCAGTGCGATCCAGGATTGAGAGAGGCGCCTCGAGCTAGTATCTCGTTAAGTCCAACCGATATTAGACGCAGCAATAACAACCGAGTGTTTCGTAATAATTCGCGAGCGCCGTTACGTCGTCGAATGCGTATACTTCTTTCGAACGCGTGAAGCGCGCGATTCCTGGCGGGGACCGGCGCGGAACGGAAAGCGAGAACGATTATCTTCCCTCGATGAAAAACCGTCCACGACCGATTTCCGCTCCGATCGCACGCTCACGCGAGAAAACGCAAATTATACGCTAGTTATATTCACATGCATATAAGTTGCGACTGTCTGATTCACTTCTTTCGTAAGATCATTAAAGGCATCGCGTCTACTTCCTGACGCCAAGTAGGCGCCACCAATTTTCGCATTATCTTTTCATTTTCATAGCAAAATCTGTCTTTAATAAATATCGTCCGTGATGAAACAAAACAAGAAATCAAGTTCTTAATCTTCGAGTTAAGGCATTACATATATTAGTTAATTAATGTCAAAATTTGTAAATAGAGTAATTTTATTCGTTTGATTAAAAATAGGGTTTTATTTTTTGCATCAAATTTTTAATACCTTTAATTTATTTTTCCGTTCTCTCCTCTTATACGCTATAATTTTTTTTTACAGAAAAGATCAATTCTCTTTCTTTTGTTCTATTCTTCCTTTTCTCTCTTTTTCCCTAATTTCAATGCGATAAAAATATAATTATTAAACGTTGATGTGAGAAGGTGGCGATAATGTGAAAAATAATTATATATTGGTCTTATCTATTAAATATAATCATTTCTTTTTTACTTTAGATTTTCTATTGTTTTTATTTTTAGCATTTTTAATCATTTCCTCGTTTTTTTTCATTCTCGTTATTCGAATAAAGGGAACGTATTTGTCCGTACTTTGCGCTCACTTTTTTTTTTTGTCACACTCATTATAGCACTGCCGTTGTGATATATGTACTCAGCAAAACACTGATCGCTCTCGTCCGGACACGTTCAAACGCGACCACGATGAATTGCGGTCTGACCTATATACAGACAGGAATCGCGATTGTTCGCCGTCTCGAGCCACTTGTCTAGCGCGGCCTCTCAGCTCGCACATCCGTCTCTCGCATATTTATTTCTTCAATTAACTGCAACATATATGTCTACAAGTGTACATAATCGGCCTGATTTAATGCCAAAGTAAAAACTGTTCCTCCTGGTAAAAATGCGGGGCAATTCTTATATTTTCCGTTCCGACAAATATTGTCTCTCTGCGATTAAAAAGAAATCAAGAAACGCGCATTCCTTCGAATGCATTCATAAACATTACGTAATGCGTGATAAATAGATTCTTAAGACGCGTTGTGATGTATTTAATAATTCCAATAAGCACAAGCAAAAAAGAATACGGATAAAGATATCGATACAATAGACAACAAGCTTTCTGTTAAAAAATATGATAATAATATTATTACACGAATTTGATAAATGTATTTTTAAAATTTTGAAATAGATAAGAAAGTATAAGTATAGTGAAAAAGAATAAATCTGAAAAATAGTTACCACCACGAGTTATTAAGACCCAATTTTACCAATGTAAGATTAACTCTCAGTTTCATCTACTTACCTTTTTCTAATATTTTCAGAAAAAGTTAATTTTTTTAATTGTGTTAAAATTAGAAAAAAATTAATTATATAAATCAATATTAAAATAAATTTTATATTAGTAGAACTGGGCCTAAATGCTCGAATTACAAAAATTTGATAATTCATCCATCAATTCTTCTTGATTAAATTAAAGTAATGAGATAAGCTTACTAACTACTCGAAAGATTTAGAAATTTTAGTTTTTATAATTTCAATATATCGATTACCAATTTTATCTCTAAATTGATTTAATTGTGAATTAAATGATCGTTATTTTTTATTACTTTTATATAGGAGACCATTGCGACCTGGAAATTGCTTACGAGCATTTGCTACCACGATTTCCGGCGTCCCTGACAACTGGACCGTTTGGCGGTGTGCGGGGTAGGGACTTCCTCTGCGTTCAGTGCCTGGATGGCACGCTCCTCTTCTACGAGCAAGAGACTCCCACCTTTAGCTTGGTTCTCAGGAATCGGTTGCTGCCAGAGCCGATCGTCTACGTTTCGCGGAACGACATCTTCGTAACGCCAAGCTCCTCGTGGATTCTTGAATGCTACAGGCAGGTTGTTCCACTATGCCGTTCCAAGTAGCCCGTCAATGAACACCTGCCGGTGTGCAGATAACGCGGCCGCGATATATCGGGTTACAGCCTCGTCTTTCAGGATTATGAGCTGAGAGGACTAGTGAAGAGATATATAGTTCGTTATCATTGGATTCGTAATAGTAATGGGAAAAACGCTTTTATTATCAAAAGATTTAAAAGTCACTCTAGAACTTATGATAAGGAAAGAAAAAGTATCATATATTTTTTAGCATAAATCTCTAATTATTTGCGAAATTTTTTAAAATTATCGATTAATGATTCAATGTATCTATTTGCAAAGTTGTGACGATAATAACAGTAACGCAAAACGAGAAAATATTTCAAAAGTTTATATTTTCTCATATTTTCAAAATTCGTCGCACAACTTGTATAACTTACACTGGTAAATATTAACAAAATGAGATTTCACATATATACATAGATATGTAAATGTGTTTTTTTGCGCAGGTATAAGAATATGGCGGAATTTGGCAGTAAGGATCGCACGGAAGAATCAAAGAATCTAGAACCGGACTGGAGTTACAATATCGGAGAAGCCGTTCTCGATATCGGCGCCGTTATTTTGAGCAGCTTCGAAGTTGGAATTCTCATACTCGGCGAGAAAAGTCTGTGTTGTCTAAAAGACAATTGCGTTATTCTAAAATACTCGAAAAGGCTCGAGTACAAGGCACTCTGTTTTCAACCTTACGTGATAGGTAATTGATGACGGATTTAAAAACTTTTTTTAAAACAGAAAAGAAGCAAATTAAATTTTGATCTCATCAAAACATTTTTTTCTCGAAGAGAGAAAAGACAAGGATAAAACGAACAAATTAGAGAAAACCGTAATTGGGCCAGTATAGTTTACGTGCGATGCGACACACCTAATTAAATATTTTATTATAATAAATAAAAAATAAATGAGTCAACTAAGAACAATGCTTGTAGAACCGGATGGCAAACTGATGGTGCTTGTAATTGCTGACACGAACACTCTGATGATTTACGAGGGCACGACTCTTAGGTGGTCAGCTCAGTTACCTTTTACTCCGGTTGCTGTAACTCGAGCGCATTTTCAGGTAATCAATTGCATAATACTACGTTCGTATTCTTGTTCGATGCGGCATCTCAAGATGTTATGTCACAGAAAGCGCCATTTGAGAAAGAAAGTTCAAAAGGAACCAATAATTGTTCTTGAAGTAGCAAATTTTAATGTCGTAACAATTTCCTATTATTATGAAGTGCTAATAATAATAACTAAAAAGTCAATAATTGCTACACTAAAAAGTTTAATTAATTTGTAACGTTAATATTATACAAATTTCTCACTTTTCTTCATTATTTTACAATGGATAAATAATTTTTTTGCTATTAATCATCTCGTAATAAGTAACAATATTATAAACATAACAATCGATATATTTTTTTTAAAGAAAGGTACTTCGGTTATAAGTTCGTAGCAAAGATCATATTGATAATCTATTGATCAATTCAGTTTTTTTATTTTACCATTTCATTTTTATTAATGGCATTGAAATGGTATAGCGATGTAACAAATGGTCGATATGCTGTACCTGACAAGGCAGCTTTACCAGTGAAAAAAGACTGAGGGAAAAAATTATTGGTTTTCGAAAGGTTATCTTATCCGGATATTGGATAGTGACATATAGAAAATATGGGAGAATTCCTTTTAAGAGAGGGAACGAGACAGAAAGAAAGAAAGAAGGCCTCGATAGAACGCATATCTACATACATTCACCACGATAGTCCGCAATCAAAGCCGATGACATTTGACAAAGAAGCGAGCCGAGACCTCCGCCATATCGGAGTATCCTCTTCCGTGTCGCACTATCGGTACCGCCAGCCGTTGTTTCTCTGACAATATTATGTTAAGCACGGATCTATCTCGTCCTTGTTATCAGATGCCTCTTTGATGTAGCTTCTCTATTTCATATTTTAAAGAAGCTAACAAAGAGTGGAACAATCTTGAACTTCTATAACGACAAATCTTATGAAACTTATACATTTTGTTTTCCTTTACAAGATTTTCTAAACGATATAAAACAAAATCTATCTTGATCAAATTCAGTAATGTACATACAATTATACAAAAAAGTAAATTTTTTACTAAAGATTTTACGAAAAATATTATCTGTATCTTCCACTATAGATTCAAAGTTAATTATGGTCATGTTTTGCTGACTTTTATCTATTTGTGAAGACCGCGTCAAATGTTGACATAAAACGATAATCAAATTGCTCGAAGACACGTTTGACCATCTTATGAATTGTCCTTATTTAAGAATTTTTGAAACCGCAAGACAGGAAAGGAAAAAAAAGTGGTGAAGATAAAAGCGAAGAGCTCGTGGCAATGACGATCGAAAGAAACTTTCAAGGCTTTTAACATCGGCGTCGCCAATGAAAGACCGGGAAAGGAAAAAACCGCAAGAGTGCAGGGAAGGACGAGGAGTCGGCAATTATCACCCTGGTTTTATCTTATCGTCCTGCCACAGCTAGCGCGCGGCCAGCAAGGTTACCATTGTTGTCTTTCCGGAGGACACAGAACGCGCGAATTGCTGGCTAATTAGCTTAATACCGAGAACTCCGGTTTGTTAATCAGCGAACTATCGTCGCGGCAACTGGAGCTGTTTCGCGTGGTTCCGCGTCAACACGAGAAAACGCTTAGAAAAACGCCTAAATCAGCCGGACGCCAGAATGAAAATAGCGACGAGTGATTATTTTTATCTTATCTCTCGTAATGACAAAAGCAGAAATAGCCTTTCAGCTTGCCGTTATGAAAAGAATCTGCCATAGGCGATCGAACTGAAGTTTTACACGCAAAAAGAACCATCTGAGGGACTTTTCTTTAAAATGAAGAGAAATGAAGTTTATATAATTAGTAATAAAATTAGAAAGATCAAAAGCATATCATCGTACTCGGGTTACTTTAATTTCTAATTTTAAAGGTCAGATCGCTTTTACGAGCAGGTATTTAATTTAGCTCTCCTATTGCTTTTGCACATCTGCGAGATAATAACTATGATGCGTACAGGTCACTCCAGGTTTCCCGCAGTTCTTTTTTTTTTGTCTACGGTTTCTTTGACCAATTTGAGGTTGATTTTTCCTTTTGCAACGATGCAACTGTAATCTAGAGTTTAATATTTCCTTTTTTAGCACTTAGATGGAGTGATCGTCGTTCTCTCTGAAGAGGGCCAGCTAGAGGCTTGCTACTTGGGCTCGGAACCGTCGTTATTTATCGCACCTCCTCTGCATCGACGCGGTTACGATTACGTGGCCGCCGAAGATGAGCTCATGGAGCTACGCAAATTAGCGAAGAAAAATAAGACTTCCGGTACGAATAAAGTATGAATCAATATACCCCTGAAACAATCGTTAACGATACAAAAAAAAAAACAAGTTCTCTAGCAAGAATTTCCCCGAAGACTAAATTACCTATTTTGCGGTTAAAATTTAGCTTGGCCGGTATTTATAGTCGATTCTCATATTTAAGATTGTTTTAAACATACAGTCCCCTGAGATGTCACGAACCCAATCAGAGGGTTGTATTAGTATCGTAAGACATTAGACTTAAGACGGTCTTAAAAATAATAACCGACTATGAATATCGGCTTTTATTATGGACATTAATTATTTTATAATCAAAATTATAAGGCAATCAACTCAGTGACGTCACCATGGACGCCGAGCTGATAATATCCGTGACCGTATCTGCGGATCTGGAACCGTGTCCACGCGGAAACCAGGACGACTGTAAGGACGACTCAGAGGGTCGTAATTTAATGTGCAGGATCACCATAGAATTGTCCACGTATATGACGCTTCGCGATGTTCAAGTATGTGTGGACGTCTCAAAGCCGTTCGTCGCCGACAAGGATCGCCATGTTATTACCAACCTTTGTAAGCGAGTCACGTAAAGTAACATATTTACGACGCAAAGTCTCGAACGAGAAAATAGCAGTTCCAGAATAAAATTAAAACGCGAAAAATAGAATGACACTGCGGAAAAATGCATATCCTTCGCGCATTAATTTTTTCCTATTTCTCATAATTAAAGTGATAGAATTGCTACAGAATGTTAATGATAGTCGGTAAATTCGTTACGTATGTCACTTCGCTAATTAATCATGCAAATGCGAAGGTGACAGGCACGTTCTGCGCTTAATGATTTACTCAACCATGGATTTACCGGCGATGTCGTCGGACGTGAGAATCACGGCGAGCTACGAGACGGCGGATCGTGGGAGCCTACGCGTACTTCAGAAGACGACCCAACTACCCCTGAAGATGATGCTGAGGGCCTGCCCACCCGAGAGCACGTCCACCTTCACGGCGACCATCAAGTGCAGCGAGCCGCTCGTGGCTTTTAGCCAACTATTTCCCGGTAAATCCATCGGAACCGTCGTTTATAATACCCCTTACCTCTCTCGTCTTTCGTGACCAGGGCTGCAACCGCGATAAAACTTATTCCCTCGAATCTATAAATTTTTCTGTGGTTTCATACGATAACAAACTCTCTGAGAGAGAGCCCCCTATTAGATTTGTTTAATTTTAACTTTTAAAAATTGTGTACTATACAAATGTTGCATTGTATTGAGATTCAAGTATTTCTCTGAAGATTTGAGTTTATATTTATCATAGAGAAACGACGTCATCAATAAAATTATATAAATTTTTAAACTTTATATTTGTCACAAAGTGTAACAATATCATCTTTAATGAAATAGATATACATATGTATAAGTTACATGATACTATCGCGATTATATCATCAATTTGATAAAGAAATGCAATCGCGATATCTAAATATAATATAAAGTTCTCACGAATGTCATCGATCTATAAGTCGTGGAGAAATTGGTTGTTTTCATACGTGACATTATAAACGACATAGCTTTGTATTGCCGCCCTGCTGGTCCCATCGTCGTAAAGGATTCCCCAAAATCTCACGGGTCTTTTTTTTTTTACTTCCACCACCTCGTATTTCCCCCCGGTTGTTCCCCGTCGGAAATTACGGGCTAGGAAATTGTGGATAGAGAATTAGGATGTCTCGTTTGCGAACGGCGATATTAAGGAATCCAGTCTCTCTCGTTCGTGGTTTAAACATGCGGCATCTCGGCCCACCTAATACGATAATCAGACATCGCGGGCCCCAGGGACCTTACCCGGACCTCTTCAATCACGGCACATTTTCTTCCTTTTATCGGTCTCTCGACTTTAAGCCTCGCACACCTGGTAGATTCGTAATTTAAAGTCGGTAAAATTCTCGTTAAGTGAATTCCTTCCCTCCCATGAAACCGCTCAGGACAAAAAATATATCAATCATAAAAATATCAATGTCTTATTTCAAATCTCACGATAAAATATAAAGAATATCCCAGAATTTCAACCGTAATTTCTATCATGAAAAATGTTTTAATATAAATTTAAGCTATTTTTTTAATGATTTTAAGAAATGTTTTATTGAGAACATTTATTGCATATTGTTAAAATTAAACATTAATTGTTTCGGTCTTCAAATAAAAATAATAATAGAAGAATACATTGAGAGAAAAATATACTAAATTTTAATGAATAATTATTTGAATAGTACTAATAGTTATTCACATAAAACATAAATATTTACTAATTAAAAAATAATAACAATTAAAAATCAAATTGAGGGTTTGTCTATCAAATACATGCTTACATTTCATAAATATTCAATTGATGTTATTCAATATTTATTTAAATTTACAGTATACACAGTTTTTTCTGAATGTACAGTCATTTGAATTAATTAACTGAATAATTGAACTTTCTTATTGAATTGTTTTCTTCAGAAGTTATGTGAGAAGTTTGCGAAAAGATTTTAATTCACGATAATTCCTCGCAGAGTTTACAGGAGATGTACAGAGGCAAAACTGGAACGCACTTGGCTTGCAGCACTTGCAAACTGGCAGCGTGGTGACAATCGTTTCCGGCGCTACCAGCAATCGATACCGAGTGCAATCAAACGACGGACTTTCAATGGCCTTGGTGGTGCAGCAGCTGGTGAATAGGCTCAAAGACAAGGCTACCGGAAACTTTACGACCGCCATCGCGCAAAATCATATACAGCTAGTACAATCTCAGATGGAGGCGCACTATCATAGTCGCCAGGAGGTGGACAAAATTGCGGTAATTTATTTAATTGAGGCTTTTACGTAAATTACATTTAATTTTGATATGCAATGATCAAATAGTTTAAAGAAATACATTTTGTATGTAAACGCGTATTACGTTAAACGTAATCTTAAATGAGTTGCTCTTTACATGCAATTATTTATTTATATCTGATTTATATTTTAATTTTAGATAATATACGAGGGGGTAACTATCTGTCTGAAATATTGTCCTACAGATTACATAATTTCATTTTGATTTTATATAATTTTATTTGATGAGAAACAATTTTCCTACTATATATACGGTCATTTGGTGAAATAAACGATTTTATCTAATATTACACAATTATTTCTTGTAGTTGCGTATGTAATTATCGGAATTTCATATAAATTTTATAATAATTTCAGTAACTCCGTCCAACGATTACATTAAGTGATTACCCCCTCGATAATATATCTCGATAATATTACTCCATTTTTCATTCAAATTAAATTGCTAAACACTTGTCCTTCTTATTAATGTTTCAACTTTGATTTTAACTTCCATCTTAAACAAAAATTGAAACCTTGTTAAATTAAAAATCTCCATAAAAGCCTACACAATATTTTGCACAGATACATGAGAACTTTTTTGTTTTTGTTATCTCTATACTTAGCTCTCTCTCCCTCTCTCTATCTTTCTCATAAGATTTGAGATGTTTTTCTCGCAGTCAATTGACGATGCTGGCGGTATTGGCGGTGTCCAATTCATTAACATCGTCGTTACTGTCGATTAATTACACTCGTTTCTCTCTTCGTTAGCATGCTTTTTTGTTCGCAAATACAGAATGAGATCGGGCTACTGTCGACCCAGTTGAGAAACATCGAGAGGAGGATGCTGCGCGCCGTGAGGGAGCGAAATACCCGGTCTCTGGGCACGACCGGACTGCCGTTCCTCTTGGAGTTGACTTATCGCGCGATCTTCGCGCTTCTGGACGATCTCGCGATCGCACGAGCGGTAATTGACCGATGTCCAGCCCTCCTACAGCCGATCCTTTTCTCTTTACAGAGAACTCGTTCTGAGATCTATCTTTAATCAGCTGTACGTTGAATTAAAGTACGTTCAACGTAAATCTGATTTTGTAAGATTTGTGTAAAATTGTTGAAATAATTTGACTTCTTTTAACTTTTATAAACGCGCTTTCATTCATTTCTACCTGAGCTGCAGTTAATAGCGTAGATAGAAATGAATGAATAGTCTCTAGTCTCTATTTATTACATTAATAAGACTAAATCTCGCACGATCCTAATATATTTCACAATAAAACGGTAATATTTCGTGCTGTTACAAATAGAAATTTGACCTTTAACTGATTTAAATTGTTTTCTGAGTGGAAGTGAATATAAACACTTTTGTTTCTATTACTTGCAATTCTATGCGTTCTCGCGCGTCAGAAAATTGTAATAAATACATTCTCAACCAATCCTACAGCTGAAGTGTAGTCTCAGAACCTGCTTGATAGTGCTCGCGAGTCGCTCACGTTGTAATTGTCCGCTGCAGTTGCCTTCGCTTATTCACCCAACGCTGACAGCGACAGCGAGCGGCGACCATAATCTCGGCAGTATAAAACACGCGAACCACTTGACGGCCGATCGCGGTCGATACAGTATGCCACGTTTTATCGCGCGCCAATCTGGAAGCGGAGATGGCAATCGCACCGATGCAATGGCGGTTTCGCGAAACCATATCAACGTGCTCGTGATCGTTACTCGATCCCTCTCGTCGCGCTCGAGTGGCTTATTATTTGCGAGATTTATGGCGCTCCAAGAAAGGGAATTCGATTTGAGCGCCGATTCGCACGATATGCGGGAGAGCAATGTTTAGATAGATACAATAAAGGGAAAGAGACAACGATATGGGAAGGATCGTTTCAGTGTTATAAAACCGAATTAAAAATACAAGAAAATATATTGAAAAAAAAATTATTGAATCTCACTTGATAATATTTCTCTTCGAAAAGTATTAATTAAACATCTACTTACAATAAATAAATATTTACTCAATAAAAAATATTAAAATATATTTAGTAAATCTTTTTTAACTCAGAACTATTCAAACAAATATTTATAAAAATTTAGTTTGTTTTTCAGTGCAGGCGAAAATAAAATTATCGGTATGGATTTACTTTTTAATCTTCAAAATCATTGAATTTCTTTTCATTTTCTTTGTATATTTGGATTCTTATAAGGAGCTATCAAGTTAATCCATGACAGCCGACATGCTGCAAAGAACGATCGGAGGGAATTGAATTAAAATTAATAATTTGTTAATCTGGAGAAAGTGACGAGTACAAATGTAATATCCATCCACTGTTGCGGGAATATGTTAACGTAAACGAAATAAGTTAACAAGCGAGTATTTTTGTACCAAAATCAACTTTCCTTCGAAGAATATTCTTACAATATAAAGACTACTAATAATCTATTCTACAATTTGAGTCTACAGTCGATTAAAATCGTTTTACGATAGCTTCGACTTCTTCAATGATATAAAAAAATATAAACAGTTAATAAATGTAAAAGGAAAAAATTAAGAGGAGCGCCTGACCTCGTCAAAATTATACCGGTTTCGATTCCTGACCCAAATCTCGGTTCGCATTATCCGAACAGATTGGCGACGTGCTGTCCGTCAATACGGCGTGATGTAACGCAGTAATTGGGCTGTTGCAGGAACGGGAACGCGCTGGCCACGGTCTGCGGTGCGTCGTGAGGTTACTGCTCCTACTGTTGCGGCTCAATGTAAACGACGATAAGTACGCGATGCTCGAAGCCGCGATCGGATTCGATCCGCAGCTGTGCGACGGGCTCGTAAGTATTATGGCGAAGTGCAATTCAATCTGTTCGCTTTACGACAATAAGTGGCTAAAATAGGTCCGACTACTAAAAACATTGATAAAAGTTCGATTAATCAACCATTTGGAAGAAACATAGTTTGATCAGTTTGTGCTGTCATTTACAAGGAAATATTGTTTACATCATAATCGGCAATGCTGTTGCTGTTTTCTTCTATCTCTTTTATCTCGATAAACATTCGTTCGATCGGTTCCTCAGGACTGGGAAGAAATCGCTGATGTCAGCCTGAGCGCTTTTCTACGATCCACTTCGAGAAAACCCACGAGTCATCTAGATACAAAGTCCGCGACGTTAACCAAAATGACGTCTACCAAAGAGTTCACCAAGTTGAAGAAACGTTTGGTACACGCGGTTGAACGTCTTGATAGCTGTCGAGAAGCTGACATAATCGAGAACGAACAATTGGAAGCTACAAGCGATCGCGCTTCTTCATAAAAGTCGTTGCGTTATTCAATATAGGAATTTTTTTAGGAGTGTACAATTTTCACTTTTTTGCGACCGTTTCGTTTTTACATTTTCTAAAGTATTTTTCTTCAGGGATATCGGAAATGATTATAATAATGACGCTGGTACTTAAAGAAAAATTGATACGTCGAAATAAAGAATAAAATTCTTATTCACATCAATACAAAATCGCTATCGGCTGTGCTTCAACCATTTAAAAATTAATTCGTAGTTGCCCATATAGCACACGATATTCTATGGATATCCGTTATTGATCCAGGATATACATAAAATATACGGGATATAATATGGATGTCCATGAATGAACATAAAGGTATATCCGTATAATGGACCTACTATAAACATCCATAATATATCCATGTATATAATATAAATATACAAACGAAGGACATATATGTATATCCATATATGTATGTTACGCGTATATTAATTTTCATACATCAATGGATATTCAGAAATGTGCTATTAAATGTATATACATTGAATGTACTTTCACGGATCTGCCAAGTACATTTACCGGAGGACATTGTATGTACATTGTATGTAAATACTTCGACGTACATATCGAAACGTCTATAAATGTTCTTTTCATGTATATCCGCTGAACGTACTTTCACGGATCTGCCAAGTACATTTACTGTCGGACATTGTATGTACGTTGTATGTAAATACTTCGACGTACATTTCGAAATGTCCATAAATGTTCTTATCATGTATATCCGCTGAATGTACTTTCACGGATATGCCAAGTACATTTGCCGGAGGATATTGCATGTGCATTGTATTTATAGTGTATGCATAGACATATGTATCTATGACGTCGAGTGGCTCACCGCTCGGTGCGATTGACTCGCGATCTGTAGACCCGAGTTCAAACCCACGTACGCCCAAACGCAATTTTTCGCGAATGTATGGATATTTCTTAATACATACATACATAGGATGTGCGGATGTATAATCTATGGACATGAAATGGATCTATGCTGGCGTCAATTCGAAGGTACACTGGATATACATTGCAAATTAATGTCCACATGTAAGATTAGTAAATATCCATTGGATAACCATGAGAACTTAAATTAATATCCATTGTATCCCCAATGTATCTTCGAATTGATTCCAACATAGATCCATTTTATATTCATAAAATATACATACGTACATCCTATGTATGTCATATGGATTTTTGTAATGTATTAAGAAATATCCATTGTAATATCCATATGACATACATAGGATGTGCGGATGTACATTCTATGGACATGAAATGTATCTATGCTGGAATCAATTCGAGCATACACTGGGGATACAATGGATATTAATTTAAGTTATCGTGGATATCCAATGGATATTCAATATCCATGCATGTATATACATTAAATATGCAATATACATTTGTGTGCTATTTGGGTGTTGATCTAACTTTGAATTAGATTTTAAATGATTGAAGCATAATTGACAGCAATTTCATAATGATGTGAATAAGGATTTTATTACAACTTTCAAAGTGAGTATTAATTTTTCCTTAAGTACAGTGTCATTATTATAATAATTTTCAGCTTCTCTCTATAAGAAAATACATAAAAAAATGTAGAAAAAAAAGATCTCCAAACGGGATTATGAAGAAAATGATATCCTCCTTTCCGAATATATTTTCTCATAAACGCACTGCAACAAACATTAAAACTAGAAAGTAAAGAAAAATCATTAGAATGTGTAATTAAATTTTTATCAGAAATCTCGACCGATTGTAAGATATTTTAATGATAAAAATCTACCAGGTAGTTAAGTATGTTTCTTCAATGCCGTTTTGTCCGTAAATTTCTTAACATAAAAAAAGAGACGAAATTTTTCGAATACACAGAAAACTTTGAATTCTGTTCTCAAGATTCGCCGACGTAATAATGGCTTAAGTATTTTTAACGAGATTTGCAGGAGTATTACTGTGCGTATTGGGCGTATCTTGGCGCCGTTGCGTGTGCATGTGCCGATAAGCTACGCAGGTGCAATACACGCATATTATATGCACGGACAGGCGCGCGGTTTACGTAAGTGCGTCTATACACGCGCCGGCGCTGCGGCGATAATTTTATTCCACCGCCTGCGGCATATTATTGAAATAGGCGAAGTCGAACAGCGTAACGTATAGTTTGAGTGATTCACTAGCTGGCGCCACGATTCCGCTTTTTCGAGGCTAATTAATGGGAAGAATGTATGAGACGGGAGGGTATGTGTTTAACTCGGCGGGACCAATAACAGCCACGCGCTTTGTTCGCGATAATTTTCTTACGAGAGCGTTCTCTGTATAATGTTATGCAAAGTGCTTGCCCCGTGTAGAATGGAAAGGATCGTAAGAATTTTTCAGATCCCAGGCTGTTCGCACACGCTGTTCGATATCCGCCATGACAATAAAGAGACACGCAACTTATCGAACGGTGATAGCATTGTCACGAGCAGAACAACTGCGCTCCTATTGACTCTTTTATTATAAATGATTATAAAACGAAACTATCCCAGAATATATAAAATCAATAAATTCTGAGATATATTACTGTGATTGCAGCAGATTGTACTGTTTAATAGAATGTTGAATTAAACTTTACAGTTTTATCTATTTATTAAAATATATATATACAGAAAAAGAATTATTTATTTCTACTAAATACATTTTCTGAATTATGATTTTAAAATTGAGAAAAATTATTATTTTCAATAATAACGTTTTTTTTTTATCAATGAAATCTTTAATGCAATGGCAATGAAAAAAGAATTTTATTAGAGTAAAAATGTAATTTTAGTTTTTTATATATGTTAGTTAAAAAATTTTTTTTATTGAAACCAATGAATCTAATTACTTGAATATAATAAATTTTTTATTACTTTGTAACATAAAAACTATAATTCCTTGATTACGTACCAATATATACATATGTATAAGTAATAATTTCTTGAATCAAGTAATAAAAGAAAAAAAATATATAATGTAAATTGGACTCTCGATATTCAAACAATAAAATAAAAAATCAACGGGCAAATGAGAGTTTAAATAATATCTACGCGGTTAACAGTACGTTAATATAAAAACGTTTAATTATTCACAAATCATAAATAATTTATAATGTCGGTTAAAATTACGTACGTTTCGACTGATTTCCAGTCATCTTCAGCGCATTAACAATCTAATTAACTCTATCGTTCACCTTGATAACAAACATAAATTTTACAGTTAATATTAACGAAAAATTCCCTTAGAGACCCGAAACATTTCTTTGATCGTCCTTATCCCTCAAATCAGCATCATCAAAGCTCATCCTCTCAATGACTGTTGGAAGAATGCAACACTTGTCAAAATCCATAATTTGGCAAATATCTAATAAGATTAAAATTTTTTGTATGAATTCAAACGTTGCATGTGAGAAAAAATTATAAGAGAACTCACCAGATGCGTACTGATCAAAGGGGAGTAAGTAGATTAACAATTCTAAAAAGAAAAAAAATTATTAGTTATCGATTAAAGGCATTTTTATTTATTGATAGAATTAATTTTATTAATTTAGTAAATAAAAAACATTGTAAAATTTTATTAGACTAATCTTATTTCAGTATTAAATAACGGAAGAGTAACAAATTGATTTTCCTTTAAATATTGACGTAACTGTAACGATAACGAGTTACTTTTGAGTATCAGTAACTAGTAACGGTAACTATATATATAGCTACTATTTTGACTCGGGAACAAGTAACGGTAACTAGATACTTTTAAGAAGTAACTTTCCATTCTTTGTTTTTATTTTATTTTTACATACTTTTACGAAACAAAAATTTTATATAAAGAACGTATTTTTTATTTTAAAAAATACGCAATAATAACAAAAATTTTTGTCTTGAATACCCTATAAATATTTATTACGAACTATTTTAGTGAATTGTTTCTAAAAGACAAAGTAATTTTAATTATAGAAATGATAAATTTCCTCCATCTACGGTATTATACAGATTCTGTGTTCATTATTAAATTTTGCACTTTCATAAATATGTTGAGAGAGAGAGAGAGAGTTTTATAATTTAAAAACTATTAATATCAATTATTTTTATTTTCATTATAAATTTAAAGAAAAATTAACAAAGTTTAACAATTTAATACTTACTTTCGACATTTGTTCAGGCACGCGTGCATTACGCCGATTCACACGACGGGAAAGAGACTTCTCTCGTGAGCACGCAGAGATGCGTGCTACGCTCCGCGGCTTCCCACGAACATGAAGAAACAAATAATCGCGAGGCCCGCGTAACCTTTGCCGAAGTGCTCGGCAAATATTTAGACGGCAGCACTTTTCCGTTGTGGCCACTGATGTAACAAATTGAAATATTTGTGGCCGCAGTTTTGCGGTTCGGGTAAACGTCTGGCGGTAACATTGGCGGATAACCACGAATATCAATGAATAAACAATGCAATGATGTAAGCCTTTACGGGCGTAATGTTTAATTATATTGGCATACAGTCAATATAAATCGAGGGCAAGGTTTTCCAGAACTATTGACTTTATTTTACTTCAGCTTCAATAACGGATTTTTCAACGGAGTTAAAATTCGTATCTCAGAAAGAGTGAGGGAAGCGTTAACATAAAATCTCAATAACCAGAGCTTGAATAGACTATAAAACATCAAATGTTGGATTTTAATAATAAACTTAATTACACAATTTTTCAAGAGAGTTTCGAAAATTTACTATATAGTTATTGATACTCTGATAATTTAGTAAATTATACATGTTTAATTTGTCATTACTATGAATCTATCATAAAAATCATCTAGAATATTCCATTACTTTTTAGATATTCCTTTCGACTGTGAAATTTTTTAAGAAAAAAATCGTAGTAATTTCTAATACAAGCATCGCCGCTTTCGTAATTTTCTTCGAAAATCTAAAGAAAACGATTACACGTCGAATTTAATTTGTACTACTAGAT